TCTTTTTTCAGGTGCAAATTTACTTGTCTTTGCCAACGATTGATGTGGAGACTGGGGATGCTATCAAATGGTGGAAGACAAACGGACATTCTTTTCCCAACCTCCTACCACTGGCTTCAGAATACCTGGGTATTTGTGCCACTGAAGTTCCATCTGAGAGAGTGTTCTCTGATGGTGGCAATACTGTGGGGCCCAAACGTACCTGTTTGCTGACAGAACATGTCAGAGAAATAGTGTTTTTGCATGGAAATTTAAAAATTCCAAAAATTTTCAAAAGCTTGTGATAAATGTTGCCATTTTCAATCCCTAGTCTATGATAACTTTGTCTCATTAAGACAAATTTAGTTTAATTTCCTTTGATCAAAAGACTAGTCTAATTTAATTACTAAATATTATACTCCAAAGACAAGTCTAATTACTCAAATATATTCCAAAGACTAGTCTAATTTAATTACTTAAGTATAGTCCATTTTTATAACTTTATGATGTTTCAAAGACTGGATCTATAAAGTATTTGTTTTTTTTATGTTATGTGACAAAATTAATAGCTATTAAACAAATGGCTTGAACCTGGTTAGTTTTCGTTGCAAACATTTCCCCTCGCAGCTAAACTTTTGGTCTTGTCACAAAAATACTAGTTTTTGTACTTTTAGTCGAAATAAGCCAATTTCTCGATTCGATTCGGGCTCGAATTTGGAGTGATTCGATTCGATCCGAAATTTTTGAGCCAATTCGATTCGATCCGATTCGAAGAAAATTTTTAAGATTCGATTCGATTCGATTCGAAGGCAAAAACCTCGATTCGCACAGCTCTAGTAAGCATGCGAATAAGATTGGCCTTATTTGCTGAATTTCCCATGAAGTGGGCCTGGGTGGAAGATGCTGTGGTGTCAGCATGGATGTTCACCCTAGGCGATGTCTTCCCAGATACGCTCCTTTGTTGCTCTTGTGCCTAGGTGGAATTTTCGTAGCCGTTAAGGACGACCGTGGCATTATTGCCGGAACGACGAACCACAAATGACGTGTATGCAGTGCCGATTTGGCCAAACGTCGCGGGGCGAGGCCACACCATGTGGCGTAGTACCATACCACCGTCCACAACATACTTTGCATTTGGGGGAGGCGAGTGGTCAGGTGCACACTTCAAACTTAAAGCAGCGGCCAAGAAGACTTTTCAGTTTTTCTGAAAGCGCCGTGTTCGTCGAAGAGATTGGGTGGGCAAGGTGACAGTTCATACTCAAGGTATTGACTGGTACACTCGTTGAAGGCAAAGTTTAATGCTGTAAAAATGCAGTTTGGGTCGTTCGGGTCAAGGTTGATGAACGGCAGAAAGTCAACCTGGGACACATCATATGGGCCGCATCTTGCATGAGAAGTTGCCATGTAACCATTCCATGCAGGAGTTGGACTTTCCTGCAAAAACAATAAAAAAAAAAATTAAAATTTATTTGCTGACAACTTTAATCAAAAGCATTACCTTACCGGTGCATTTTATTGTACCTACCAGTAGAAGTGGTTTAGGGATAGAAAAGCTGGAAATCCATAGAAAGTCATTATTTTGTGCATTGACCAAGCTCGGCAACGTACGACTAACGACTAACACCGACATCTTGTACTCCTAACTTCTTAAACCCGGACACAGGAGGCTTATCGTAGTCCATGTGAGGTATCTGTCCTTTACTCACATCCATAATAATTTTTCCCTTCAGGCGAGGAACTGAAAATAAAATAAAAAATGTTTTAGACAGTGTTTTTTTTACTAAAAAATATAACAATTGGAATAAGACTTACTTGTGAATGGCAATGGGGGCAGAGCAAGCAATGCCACCCATTTCATGGAAAGTGCTAAGTCCAGTAAAAGTCTTTATGTTGTAATCGGCGTTATCAAACGCCCACTGCTTGAAGGAGGTGGCAGCTGGGGATGCTGGCCGACCAGAGTTCACAAAGCAAGTAGTGAAGCGGTCTATCTCAGCGTAGCTTGAGCAGAGTCCCAGGCTGTGCAGCACGTCTATAACCAACCTTGAGGCCGTATTTTGGTGAAGATATAGGGCTAGATTTAGCTGGATCGTAGAAATATAAGATCTTGGTCGGCTGGCTTGCATGATACTTTGGGCAAGTGTCTCCTGCGCCCTCTCCACTGGACGACTCTCCGACTTTGACAAGATGAGTTCAGCAAGAAAATAGTGCAACGAATCGGGAACTAGATAATCTTCATCCAGACCCCTACCAACATGATAGTTCTCCATGTCGTACGGCCGTGAGCGCAGATCTTCAGTAATTATTTGGACTGCTGCCTTTAGAATTCGGTTTTGGTCAGTCTCTTTTCGAGAATGTCTCTCTTCATGCCATGAATCATAAACAAATTTGTTAGCTTTTCCCCGAAAACAAAAGACACTATTTTTTCCTCCAAAATCAGTGAAAATGGCATATTCTCCGTAGCGATCCTTCAGCAGTTCCTTTAAATAACGGCCACAATACCCTATCTCGTTTCCCGAAATCTCAGCAAATCTTGTAGTCATTACAGCATGAGAGAAGGACGCCCTTGAGAAGAAGCTTTAGCTGTGGGAGACCGCTCACTGGCGACTGGGGGACACGCTAGCAAGCGCAAATGTGAGACCACTCACGATTTTAAAACGGCATCAGGTCCGGGAAGGTCTGACGAATGGGAAAATACAACTCCCGCCCCTCTAGGGGCTACCGTAAGGGCGCAGCGGCCCCCCAAAGGGCTTGCGAGGGCCGCGCCGGAGGCGCCGGCAAGGCTGCCTGGCTGATGGCTGGCCGGCGGGGGCATAATGGTTCGAGTATGTCAAGTTTTGGGCCCGGAAGACCCTGTTCCCCTATACCCTTTCCTTAACTCGTCTCGGGTGTCAGCGCCGCAGGCCTAGGTAGATGTATGCCAGGCGCGTCGCAGCGTAACAGTGTTTCGTGAGATATCGCGAAGCCT